GGATTTATACTGTGAGCAATAAGTTCACAGCTCAGAGCTACAAACTGGACTCAGGAGTTCTAGACTACAGTAGACCAATCACTGGACTTCATGTTCGAAGCAGAATACTGTTCATCAACTAAATTGAAAAAGATTGCAACACTCATTTCWTTTTTGTAATTTACAAATGCAACACTGAAGGGGAAACTACAAAATAAAACAATAAAGGTTCATCCTGCACTGTTTAGAAGCTGGGTTCAAGTGAGGAAGCTCTGCTATTGTAACACATGCAGTTACTGAAGTTTGTTTTTAGAAAAAAATACTTCATGTCAAATAAGGAGCCTGTAGGRCAGCTTATGTTGCTCCAAAACCTGCAGACATGTCTCAAACATTTACTGTCTATGTGATCTGTTGTTGAAAAATTRGTCCTTCTCACTTGTCAGAACATTTCACCTCAGTTTCAATTATCTCTCTGGACCTTTGTCTTATTTTGTCCTTGTATGTTACTCATGTGGATGCAGATCAAGAACTGATGAGCCTCAGGTGAACAAACATGGTTTTTAAAGCACATTCAGAGATGAGTTCTGCTCCTCCTAAGGTGTGGTTTACTGTCTGCGGTACAACCCCCCGGGTCTTTTACAAAGCAAATGTATTAAAAAAACAAAAAGATTTCATCCCCGACACTAATCCTGCACTGAAGCCCAGACCGCCTCAGGCCTTCCTTTCAACAAAAAAGTCCACAAAGTGAAAGGGATCACAGGTCTGACAGCAACACCAGAACCAACAGAAGCAGTCCACTGAGGAGGTGGAGCGGAGGCGTCGATGAGGTGGAGGAGGCGTTCTTCTGCACCATCATCCCAGTTCCTAAGAACCAAACACAACACAGCCTCACAGGTTATTCAGCTGCTGCTGTTCAGAACTCACTACAACTTGTGCCACCATTTGTTTTTGGTCAAAACGTGAATTAATATTTATTTTCATTAAACATACACAGCTGTGGCCCTCATCCCACTTGTACTTTAGCTGACACTTTTTCAACATTACGTTTACTAAAAAACTGTTTAAATGGAGTCTTTTCTTGACCTGAAGACATGCCTTGTTTCCTCTCTGCTGTAAAACTAAATCAGAACCAAAATMATTTGTTGTTGGCATTTTACCCGAGTCTCGAGACACGATGACCTCCTGTGCCGGCCCGTCTCCCCCCTCACCCCAGGTTCGAACCTCCATCACAACATAACCGGTGTCGTTTGGTAACGGCAAGCTCACAGATGTTTTTGTCTTGTCCAGAAACTTTAATGCAGTYTGGTCTTCATGTTTGTACAGAACCTGAAAGTAAACAAGGTTAAGGTTAAGGTTCATCACTTTATGTGTAAACATTGTTTTTATCATCCTGTCCTCTTGTAGACTCATAAACTTGGTCTTTGATTTTATTATACGGCCATTTATTGATAGTGGTATCTCTCAAAGAGGTGATAAATACGATGGGAACTTGTCAACAAAAAGCACCAGGCTGTAATCAGAATGAAAGTCAATGATGGTAATCAGTCCAAGCCAGGACACGGAAGGGCAGAACAAGTCCAAATTTTTCTTTTATCCCCACTCTGTTTATCAAATATTCCTCAWAGAATAACTGTGTTTGCTTTGTTCAGTAATTCTTACAAATGTTTTTGTACCAAAAAACACAAATTCTGACACAAATGCCATAATACAGCAGGCAAATTAGCAAACAGAAAAAATTAATAAATACTGTCAAAAATGGAAAACTAATAAAACGGAACATAAAAGGTTGCTACTCCATAATAGGGTTCAGCAAAATCATGTGGAAATATTTGTCAGAAAAACTTTCACTGGTTATTATTTGGCACTTGGTGATTGGTAGTAAGATGTCTGGAGGACCAGATAGTTTGTTACATTGACTGTCAAAAAACAATCCATTGTCATCAGATACAGGCCACGTCTGACATGTTTGTGAATTAATTGCTGATATCTTTTCCTGAAATTGGATCTAAACAGTGCTTTAAGTGGAAAAAAATAAGTGCCGGTACTCCCATAATTTCATATAAATATGGGATAGAGACATATGTAATGTTTATATAAATATATAAAGTTTTATTGCACAAAAATGACAAAGAACAAAGCCTATTCTAAATCAAATTTGTTTTCTTCCTCATCCGGGGTCA